CAGCAGTATTTCCTCTCACAGCTCGGTTTCCTTTCTCAGTATGTGAGATACTGTAGATCCCCTTAAATTGAAGGCTCCACCCAAACTTAAGTGTTAAGCATCAGCGTGTCTGGTGTCTTTGATTCATGGGGACCTTCGATGCATGTGCTGATCACCCCAGTGATGAAAAGTAGATCAAGGTCAGAATACTCAGTGTCTCCTGATGCACAGGGATGGCAGAGACGGAGTGAGGTGAGAGAATGGGAGGAGTGTATGTGGAGTGGTAGATGACATGGTGCTAAAACTGATGACGGCAGTCAACTCTATACCCTTTCTTTCTTTCAGTTGTTTTGTTTTTGCTTTCTCTACCCTTTATCCTGTATTGTTGGGTTTTCTTTACCTAGTGGGAAACAAGCACTAAAGTGTCTGTCTGAGAAAGTTTAGAAGTTAAGCGGCTGTGTGGCTCAGTGGCCATTATAAATCTACGAGCCATTAAATGAGAGGCTGCTCCTCTTTGACTCAGTCTTTCAGGGTAAAAGACTGGAGAAAGCTGATCAATATGATTCTGGTGGAGAGAGAGCAGAGCAGAGACATGCACACAGATAAAAACCAGAGGAGCAGAGAATAATGCAGGCAGAGGAACTGGGAAATGTGCTGCTGATATGAGAATAATGAGGTGCCATACTCCAAAAGGGTGTCACTGGTATTCAGTTGTGTCTTGATGGTTGAAGTTATGGGAGCAGGTCTGTCAGCCTCGCCACGGGGTTGACTGACTGGCTGTCTGAGTGGGGAGACTCTGTTGAATCTGAGTGATCTGTCTCCCAGACAGCACTGGGATGAGACGACTGTACTCAGGGGATGATGGGTAATAAATGACTTTGAGGGGGTCACCTCAGGGTCGACTGTTCCTGACAGCCAGCTAGGTTTGTGCAATTTGTTTTGTTTTTGAGCCTGTATGTCTGTGTGTAAGTGCAAAGTTCATTCCTAAATGAGGCATTCCTTCATTTTTATTTTGTCATATCAGTTGCTGCCATGAAAGTTAATCAAACTGTGGTGCAAATTTTGGGTTAGCACTTTCATCGTTTTAGGACTATATACCCAAACTCCCTAACTCGGTGACATGATTTTTTCCAGGATATTGCCTAGATTTTTTGAATAAGAAACCTACTTATCACCAAGTTTAACTAAAGCAGTGTATTGCTGTGTTGATGCTGTTTTGGTTCTTACAGAAATGTGTCCTGTACGCTAGCACTGATTCAGAAGCTTGTTTACTTATTCTCTGATCAGATAGGCTCTGATTTTATTAGAAGTGCCACCAGTTTAGTCCGCTTCATGTAGACAAAGTTCTTGTTTAGCTTGTTGTTTCAATTTAACATCTGCAAACTTTGGTGCAACCTTGACTCTAACCCTCCCTGGCCAGGAGTAAATAAGGTGCGTAGCCAAAGTTAGCTAAAGGAAGCATTATGTGTGTCTCATTTTTCCACAAAAACCTTTTTGATTCTTAATAATTTCATTTATTATTTCATAGAACTAGGGGTTTTATTTACTTTTTACACACATTTCAAACATGCCACCCCTCTCTGAGTCTGTGCCCTAGCCTGGCAACACCATCCAAACTTTAATGTTAACAAAGAATTGCCCCTGTCAAATAGAATAGAACTTTATTGTCATTGCACAACAAAATACAACGAAACTGTGAATGCACCCCAACAACAGTTCACAATACAAGATAAACAAAAGCACAAGAAATAAAAATAAATTAAAATACCCACATGTCCAAATACACAGTTTAGAAAACAAATACAATATTTGCTAAATATCTACACATCTAACGCCAGCTTTACCATATAAAATGCACAATGAAATTGCACAGTAATATTGCACATCTGAAAGAGGTAGTGTTGTTTAGTGTTTATTTGCAATTCGAATGGCCCAGGGGAAGAAACTGTTAGTTAGTCTGGTGGTAAAAAATATATCTGAACATTTCTGCACGTCAGCTACACTGCTGCAGAAATAGACTGTAATGCAGTGCTTGAGGTTACAATGCTAAATAATCGCCATGCTCTCTTGGTGCTGTTTGCTTCTTAAGAGCATGACCGTGACAGGTTGTTTATTTGATTTGCCAAGTGGCTGTTACTAGTCAAAGTAATGTATGGCAACCATGTCTGCAAAGAATGGTTGTCATAATAATATATAGCCTGCAGGGTGTGGTGGTGATACTGTCCTCAGACATGTAATTCCTGTCTAATTGTTCTTGACGTGAACTTAGCAGAGAAACTTGCTAAGCTCAAATCAGTTTCACAAAAGCCCTATTAAAATTACACTGTTACTATAATGTAAATCTCATCTTTTGGATCCCCCTGACTCCAAATCAGTTAGGTGACTGACTTATGACTTCAAACACTGTTTTAGTTCTTGTCAGTTTTGGAAGAATGACTGTCTGTTGAGTTGTGTGATATGAGCAAAGCTCACTCCTGTGGCCTTGCTCTAAGCGCAGGCTGGGATTGCTGGGTTCCAGGGTGACGCCACCTTGGCACCTAGGAGGAGGGACTTGGATCCGGTTTGGCAGGTGAACAGACAGGTGCAGTTCCTTGAACACGCCTGGGATACGATGGGTGAATGTGTTTGGGCGTGTTGCTTTACTCCCTGTTGCACACGCGCATTCTGGAAAGCTGGAAGGGCAGGCCCTGTTTTGATATCGGCTGTGCTGTTGTTGGAGGATATTTCTGTTCACTTGCTGTTTGGAGTTTGGCTATATGAAATTGAGCAGTTGGAGGCAAGGTAATGTTTGTTAACCAGCTTGTTTCTCACTATTCATTAATTATGTATTCCTGTTATTTACTTTTCTGTACTATTGCAAGCTTTAGTCAAAGTTTTCAGTAACAGCTTGAGATCACTGTGATATGATATTCGCATGCCAGAGATGTAATTTTCTTGTTCACATTTCACTGTGTATTTCTTGGGTACCGTTGAAGGATGTTATCATTCTATTCTTGGTTTGTGAGATTTTCATTAAGAAGAACTGTGAGTTCTTTCTCTGTCTCATCAAATTCCTGTTTAGTGTTAGGCGATTTGACATGAGGGTCAGTTTTAGCTCTCAGGTAACCATGACTACGTTGAGTTTGCAAAGGTACCAGCCCCTAGGCTTCAGTCTGTCTCTGCTGTTTGTTTTTCCCAGAATGACTCCAACCAGTCTTGGGTCAAAGAGTTCTTCACTAAGCAGTCATTTGGCTGAAAGGCGTGCTTGTTCCCTTGATCACCATATATATCAGGCTTTTCATCTGACTCAACCCACAAGTCACCTCTGATTTAGAGATGGTATTAGTATTAAACACAGCGAGAAACCTACAGTATTTCTGCTGCTGGAAGAAAAGTTCAAGGATGACTTCAAAAACCTACCTACCTATCATGGATTTGTGATGCTCGCATTCATTCTTTTTCATTTCTGTACTGCATGGAATTGGGGGCTGTCTTCAAGCCTCATCTTTTCCCACTGCCTGCTCTTTTTCCATTGTGGTGCAGAGATGGTAGGAAAGCCTGCTGTGCACCACTGCACTCATTACAGACCCCCCCTTCCACCGCTGGCAGCACTGCTGAAAAACACCAAATTAGATGTGCCAGGCATGGTGCAATTTCAGGCAGTAATATGGTGGAGAAATAGTTGGGGTGACTGGATTGAATCGATGTGCCTGAAGGAACGGTCATGTGTGGCTGCAGTTTTCATAGTTATTATATTCTACAGAGGGCTATATCCTGTAATGGACAGGCACATCAGATAGCACCACAAACACTCAAGTGGATCTACAGCACTCACAGGAATGGATAGTCAGAAATCATGCTTATTTTAAGCATCAAAAACAGTTGACACTGGAAATTGGATGAAAGAAAGCATTGTTTGTTCTTTACTAAATGAATTTTAGTGCATAACACCACCCCATTTCTGTTTTTTCACCTTTTTTTTATTATTTCCTATAAGATTTTTTTTAGCTACTGTTTGTTTGTTACAAGAGAACCCAGTAGTGTGTGTGTGTGTGTGTGTGTGTGCATGTGTGTGTGCATGGCAACATAAAAACATAGTAAAACTCAGAATAACAGGCAAGTCTGGTCATTTTCAATGTTTTTTCATACTGTCAAAAAATTCCCTGAAGAAAACAAAAACCAACAAGGACTGATTGTATAGATCACTCCTCTGTGCCGCAAAGTGCCATTGTTGTCCAGAAAGGGTTAAAAACACATCAGCTAACATCACTGTTTCTTCATTACCATAAACCCTTTTAAGTTTATTTTGATCTGATTCCAAAACCAACATCATGGTGGCATCATCACGCTATTTTTATTAATGAAAATATACTGTTTGTTTGTGGCCTGTGTTCGAAAGCTTTATAGCTTTTAGAAGGAATAAATGAGCTCTGAATAAATGGGATGTGTTGACAATAAAAAAAGATTGGTTTCCCATGTAAGACTGGCAAAATCTATCTGCCTTAAATAAACAGTGTGTTTTAGGTGTAACGCAGTAAAAATGAATGAAACAAAACGCAGCTCGGTGTCTCCCAAACACAGGTCAGACTGAACAAACCAAAAGGTGTTCAACGAATCAGAGCATGTTTGTACATTACAAACAAAGAAAACTTGTGTACATTAAACTACATTCTCTCACACAACCACACACGCAAAGTCTATTTGCAGAGTACAGAAAAGATTAGACAACACATACAATCAGTCAGATACAGACCTGTCAGAGAGTGTGAGAGAAACCTACTATATGCAGCCTCTGTAGCTCCCCCTGCGCCCTCCGGCCTGGTGTCAGGTTCGATGCTGCAGACATTCTCTTTTCCTCTATGGTCCCCCTGCTCTCTGGCTGAAGGCGACATCCTGGAATGCACACTGAGCTCAAGGTCATTCATCTCAGTGCTGCATCAACGTAACAGGATTGTTACGCTTGTTGTAGTTGTTTGTTTAGGTCGCTCTAATTATACTGATCTATACCTGATGTTGTCTTTCTTCATGTCTCCTTTCTGCAGACCTTGCTGCTGCCTCCCTGCAGTACCAGTGTGCACCAGTGGACTACCTATGTTCGCCACAGCTGGTGAAGAAAGGTCCGACCCCCAGACCATGTCACGACAGGCCTGCCATCAAACCCCGGCCCCAGGCCTCCACCTTACCCAGTCCGTCAACCGCACAGAAACCTCAAGGTAAAATACTGTGACACAGTGTGGCCTCTTCAAGGTCAGTGTTGACACCGGTGCTGTCATTAGAGCTGAAAAGTGCAGCAAGATCAGGCCCCTGCTACTGAGCTGTTGTTTATTCTGCTCTTCCCTAACATGGTATGCGTCGGCTGTCTGGCATCGCTCTGTCACTCACACAGCTCAGTAGGTGACCTCAGAGAGAGTCACTGATCCAAAGGAGGCCAGTGGCTCCCAGGTGTTTGAGTTTAGACATCATTTGAAGAATGCCAAATATGAACAACATCTTATGTTTGGGGACTTACTGAGAAACATACTAGAGCATTACCCCACAGGCCTGACCCCAATAAGTGTTGAGGAAAAGAGAGATCCAAACCATCCTTATCATTTTATTACATATTCTGCAGATTGTTGATCAGGATCATTTGATCATGGTTTTAATACAGATGGGTGACAAAAAGTAAAAACCAGCATAAGTGTCTTTAGAAAAGTCTCCAGAACAGCTTCGGTGCACCTTGGCATAGCGGCATGTTTCTTCATTTAGTGGTGAATGATGAGGCTAGACAGCAAGCTCTCATTCAATGGTTCGAAAACCCTCCTAATATTCAGCTGGGCTGAGATGAAAAAGAGATAGATAAGATAAGAGAATCCTTTATTGTCATTGTAACACGTACAATGAAATTTTTGTGGCCAGATTTTAGGTGCTCTGTCAAGTAGGACATACCTTAATCCAAATTATAAACTAGTAATATTAATATCCTTAAAGAGAAGGACACTGATTGTGTCATATTTATTTCCACTAGACAGAGTGTGATCACATCCCAGTGCTTTCACTTGTTGTATATCACTTTGTGCAGCTGCTCCTTTCATTTCTAATGATGCTAATAAATAAATCAAGTTGGTCAAAAGAAATTTTTAAAATTAATTGATTAAAATGTTTCTTACTTGTCCCCTTTTTCATGGCGCACTCACAGGTGGAAAGTCTGAATTATCAACCCAAAATGTATTAATATTAATTCAGTGATATTCTGTATTTTTCATTTTCAGTTTATTTAAAAATAAAATCACCAAATGACAAATTTCAAACTATATTTAGAAATTAAAACTAACTTTAGAAATGAAACAAATGAACAGTCTTGTCCTTTCCACCTGGGTTGTCATGACTCTTGTAAAGAGAAGCCTGTTCAGCCTCTTTGGTTTTATCAGACAGTGACGTGCACAGACACAGAGGAAGTGCTGAAATTAGCTACTGTGCCTGCTTTCTGACATTAAGGTTTCCGAAAATGAAATGTGTGCAAATACACAGAGCTGGCAGTGCAATCGTCTGTGTTGTG